CTTAAAGGATGAAGCTGTGCATTTTAGACCTTTTGTTTGGGACACACGAGTCAGTTTAGCAAATGTGTATTGGGGCCTCTGTTGCAGGCCCTGTGTTCAACATTGGTGCTGCAAAGATAAAGATAACATGGACTTTGTTCTCTAGGGTCTCTAAGCTGCCCTCATGTGGGAGGCTGATACACTTTAAGTACTTGCTGTAATTAGAGGCAGATTAGATGTTATAACTACAATAGCTGTTGGCATTACACACTGTTTTACACTTTTGTATCTTTGTAATGACGCCATGAAATATAGGTAATTACTATCTTATTTTACATATTTGAAACTTGAGGTTAACAGAAGAGTGAAATTACTTGCCCAGGGCCACATAGCTATTTGATGGTTGAATTTGAATTCAATCTGTCTAAAGTTTGGTAGTTTAACCACTTTACTGTTCTCTAATAAAGTGCTGTTTGGAGATTGCGTTTTGGTTTTCTTCCCTTGGTCCAGAATTTCCAGGAGATTTTCCTTCTTACTTTTTTCAGAGTTGACCTTCTCACCTCTGGGCCCAGAAATCCAGAGCTTAAAGGCAGAGCACGGGGCAAGCCCTCATTACTGGCTGCAGCAAGACCCATGAGAGCAATTCTGCCAGCCCCAGTTAATGTGGGGCGAGGCAGCAGCATGGGACTGCCCAGGGCTAGGCAGGCCTTTTCCCTGACTGGTAAGGGCTCAGACAGACCTGGGAGGAGCTGTCTGCTGGGAAGGGGGCAGGAGTGGGGATTGAGAATGGAGATGGGTGACTCTGAATGCACTTAAGTCACCAATTTGGCTCCTGGTTCTCTCAGATAAGACTCCCTCTGTGAGGACTTGTGGCCTGAAGCCAAGCACACTGAAGCAGCTGGGCCAGCCCATCCAGCAGCCATCTAGCACTGCTGAGGTGAAGGTAAGACCCATCCCCAGAAGGGGAGGTGTTTGGGGGTCTGGTTGTTTTCATTTAATGTATAAAGTTATAGTAGGCAAACCCCTGTATTGACAGACTCCAATTCTTACACACTGGTAGACCTCTGGGAGAAAGTTAACATGAATGATTTTTAAGTTTCTTTTTATAAAATGATTGCATATTTTAAGGCTTTTATTCAGAAATAGTTTATAATGTAGAAAAAAGTTGACACCCACATACTCTTTACCCAGAGTCATCTATTGTTAATGTATTAGCCCATTTTGCTTTATCATTTGTGCTTGTGGTCCCCCCTTCACCATCTGTGTATGTATGCATATAAAATACACATAATTTAAGGGTAAGTTACATGGCCTTGTACT